GAGAATATCTTTCATCTCTTATCCCTCCAAAAATGCTTCAGGCACTACCAAAATATCCCGCTTCAGGGCTTAATGGCCCCCAGCTGACAGAGACTGGCTTCTTTGACACTCAGATAGTGGGTCGTATACCCTTACTCAGGCCTGCTGGGGGAGCTGGGGTGAAGGGCTCAGGAAGAGGTGGAAGAGGAAGCTGCGGGATGGCCCTGGGGGCCAAGGCACCCGTGAGGTCTGACCCTGGCAGCCAGAGGACTTGACAGTGGCCAGCTCACAGAGCCTGGGGTGGCGAAGTGGTAGGAGAGAGGCCATTACCTGGGGCCGGCCTGTTCTTGTTTGTTTAACATGCTGCTGGGCCTGTTCTGCTACAGCAGGAGTCCCAACCCCAGGCCACAGACAGGCTGGCTGAACCACAGAAGGTGAGTGAGGAAACTTCCCTGGTGTTCACAGCTCTGTGACACAGGTAGATATACCCGGACAGCTCTGCAACACAGCTGGATAGCCCTGGACCACCACCACCGCATCCCTCATTCGCGGGGAAACTGTCTCCCACTCGTGCCTCGTGCCCCAAAGGTTCAAGAGCCAGACAGCATTGTCTGGCTTCTGATACCCCTCCGGGGCCTAAGACAGTGAAGCCTGCGCCGGAGTGCCTGTGGTCAGCCTGTTGGGAAGGTGACACAGGTCTTTGGGTGCCACCTGCGTCCCGACAGGGGTGTGATGGGGCCATGCTTACAGTGCAGGGCTGAGGCTGTGATCTAAATGCTGGCCAGGCCTCCTGCAGGAGGAAAGGCCTTGGACCACAGGTGCTGATGGTGATGGCAGAAAGGAGAAAGGGAGGGGAAGGTGGGAAAGGTGACACTCAGTCCCGCAGCTCTGCGCCCTGCACCGGGGACCACACGAAATGCTGCCCACTTGGGTTCTTTTACACAAATGCAGTCTTTCCAGGTCTCCCAGGAGGCCAGAGATCAAAGTGTTCCATTCCCAGTGCTCATCCACCTGGTCGGTCTTCAGTAGGAAGAGCTCCGTTCCCTCTACCCCATGGGTGGGCTAAACGTCATCATCCACTTCCAAAGCAAAGAATAGGAAAAGAAGGAGAAGAAAAAAAGGAGTAACCTGGGATATGGCGCTGGAAGCAGGAGGTTAAGATCAGCATCACAGCCTGTACCCCAGCAAGACAAGAAGGCCTCAAAGCCCAGTGCCCCATCTGACCACGGCCGGATGCCAGACAAACCCAGACTGGTGGGGTGTGGTACCAGAGCCAGGCTGGTACCTCTTAATAAAAGAAGATGGGGAGACCCTTGCAGGCAGAGGGTTCTATTAGGAACACAGTATGTTGAATTGGGTCCACTGAGAAACAAGCAACAATCCTCCAATAAAGCCCAAGGTTTGGGAAGAGCACTGAACACGTGTTGGTTCTTACACCGAGTCGACGGACCAGAGTGGTGTACGATATTGAGATGTGGACGGAGGCTAAATGATTGAGTCACCAGTGGATGCCGGAAGTCCAGGAAGAAACAAAAGGCTTCCCAGCGTGAGGTGCTGGTGACAGCACCACATCCCAAATCATTTTTATGGGACACTAGGAAAGCAACTCTAAGAGAAAAGGTTACAGCTGTATATACCACATGAAAACAACAGGATCGCGAGTACATATTCTAACGACGCACCTCAAGGTCCTAGGAGACAAGAACAGTGCAAGCCTGAAACAAATAGAAGGAAAGAAATGATAAAGAGCAGGGTGGGAATGAGTGAATTTGAGGCTAAAAACACATTCAAAGGATTAATGAATCCAAGTTGGCTCTCAGAGGGAGTGGGTGGGGAGGGGAAGCGAAATGCATGAAGAGATTAGTTTGCAGCTGGACACGGTGGTATGTGCCTGTACTCCCAGCACTCAGGAGGCAGAGGCAGGAGGATCTCCTTGAGTCTGGGGCCAGTTTGGGCTACACAGTGAGATCCTGTCTCAAAAGACACAAAACAAAAACCAATTCCCCATGATGAATGTACCTAATACAAATCACAAAAATGTACTAATTTTTAAAAAGATATTTGGAAAAGATAAGATCAAATATGGAACAAGATGTTAATATGTGGAGAAGCTGGGTAGAGGATTTAGAGGGACACCTCTTTCTTTGAACTTTTCTAGTGATCTAAAAATAAAAGGATGCTTTAGAAAACTAAATGCATCATGGCAGTGGATGCTCACAAGGGGCTCAGGCTTTGGGTTCGGTCCCTGAGTGGGTGAGACTCTCTAGTGGAGATGCTGGTGAGTTACGGGAGACAGAGGCAGGAAGAGCACACTGCTGGGGTCTGACTTTAAGGCCAGACTGGGCAACACAGCGTGGCCCTGTCACGGAGGGAAAAAAAAGTCATTGGGCCTCAGTTTCCTTAGGCTGAGGGATAGAAGTATGGCATGGAGTGGCCGTCCTATGGCCCTGATGTAAGGGGCAGCAAAGAATCCGTTAGGAGGGCCGGCCAGATGGCTCAGCGGATTAAAGCACCTGCTTAGGCAGTTGCAGAGACCAGGGTTTGCAGGGACTGGGGTTCGATCTCCTGGCATGTTATGCTGGCCCCGCCCCGGGACTTGATGAGACAGCGATTGAGACAGGGTGTGATGGCGCGTGCTTGTAATCCCAGCACCTGGGAGGCTGAAAACAAGAGGAGCACTATGAGTTGGATCTCTGTAGTGAGACCCTGTAGACCCTGTATTAAATTCATTAAAAAAAAAAAAAAAGCAGGATAAGGCCCGTGAAGAGTGATGCTACCTATTCTTCTTCTTCTTTTTTTTTAAAATTTTATTTATGTGTATGTGTGTGTGTGTGTGTGTGTGTGTCTGTGTGTGTCTGTGTGTGCGTGTGGCCAGCTCAGCCCACCAGGGGGCAGGGCTGGCTGGCATGTGGTGCTGGGGGATTGAACCGCAGTCCCTGTGCTTTGCTAAGCTTGTTCTAAGTAGGTGCTTTAGACCACTGAGCCATCTCACCAGCCCACCTATTATTCTTCTTAATCTGAACGAGATTTCTGGGATTGCTGGAACCTTCAGGAAACCAGATGCTGCTGGGACCCTTGTCTCTCAGGCTGCCTGTGAGGGCTCTGTTGGTGTGTGGCAGGCTGCCCGACCAGCCCCTGGGGCTGCTTTCCTGCTTCTGGATAGCCCCGTGGAGAGATAAGCAGATCCTTTCTGTTAAGGGCCTGTAGTAAATATTCCTGGAGGCTGCAGACTACGCTACTCAGCCACTGTTACCTGCAAACTGTGCTCTGGCAAGACCTGGGCCACACACTTGTGTGTCTCTGACCCAAAACATTGGTTTTCAACCCTGTACAATTTTTCAAACTAATTCTTAGCTTGCAGGCCATAACCCAAACCCAAACAAATAGCTGTGTGTGTGTGTGTGTGTGTGTGTGTGTGTGTGTGTGACAGAAGCCTGAGCCCAGGGAGTGCTCCACTTCATCCCAACCCTTTTTCTTTTGAGACCTAGCCTCACCTAGCTGTCCAAGCTCATCTAGAACTCTTGGCGCTCCTGCCTCAGGCTCCTAGGAGCGCTGGGATGACCGGCGCAGGCCCACAGGTCCAGAAAATTCTCTTGCAGCCCATGTAGAGCGGGGCCTGGGATCAGGCACTCCTGAACCCCTAGGTAATGATGAGGGTGCAGGTTCGAGCACCCTCTGGTCCAGATCCTTTGGAGATAGGAAACAGGGGTTTAAAGACCTCAGTCTCTTTTTGAAAAGAAGAAAGAGAAATGAAAATAGGCTGGTAGGCCAGGAGGCTGCAGTGAGGTTAAGAGTAAGGGTTTCACTCTGCTGGTACTGTTCGGCCGAGGGCCCTCCCTTGGGAGCAGGCTTTGGGGACAGGCTCTGAGCAGGCAGCCACTGGCCTGCTTCTCTGACTCTTCCTGCCTGCTGCTGAGTTTCGGCACCCAAGACCGACCCAGCAGAGCTGGCAGGAGAGGAAGGGATGCCAGCCGAAACGGAAAGCTTCCCATGGCAAACCATGGCGCTGCGCAACACAACAGCCGCCCAAGTGCCCATGCAGTCACTGTGGGTGGAGATGTCGCTGTCCCTACACTGACATTTAGGCCACCCTGGGCAAAGTGCCCATCTTGTTAGCCCATAGGGTCTCACGGGCCAGCTCTGCACCTGGCTGGAGACATCTGGTAATGTCTTGAAACCATTTCTCTGCAGTAGTGAGCCCTGAACCTAGTGCCTTGGGCATAGTGGGCAAGCATTCCATTGCTGAACTACACTCCAGCCCATCTTATGTTATTTAAGACAGAGTCCAGCTACATTTCATCGGCTGGCCCCAAACTTGTAATCTTTTCAACTCAGCCTCCTGAGTAGTAGCTGGGATTCCCAGTACACACCACCATACCTCGCCTTGAGTCATATTTAGCTTTTAGCACTCGAGGTGAGGTGGGTGCTACTGGTGTCTCTAATGGGCAGGAGCCAGGCACCCTGACGGACAGCCTGTGGCATCTGGGCAGCCTCCACAGGATCCTCCTGCCTCGGTCCCCCCAGTGCTGTGATCACAGGCGTGCACCTCTGCACCGTGCTTCTTAGTGCAGCCTTCCAAGCAGAGACCCCTGCCATTTCTACCCCACAGCCTCAGAGAGCCCTGCGGGAGGGATTGCGCCTGGTAAGGATGCCACTGCCTCCTGCCATTCTCACGTCCTCACGGTCCCGACCTCCCTCCCCATAGCTCAGAGTCACCTTATTAGGAAATAAGATTGTGGCAGATGTACTTAGAGACGACATCACACTGGGGCAGGGTGGGTCCCTAACCGAACACCACCAAGTCCCTGCAGTTCTGAGATCACCCCAGAGCCCCTGTCCCTGGTGACCGATCCCTGCTTCCCTCTGGGGACAGCCCCAAGGGGGTGATCGCAGAGGGAAGATCACAGCCCCCTTGGGGCTGTCTCCAGAGGGAAAGAAGAAATGGAACCCGGATTTACACCAGAGGCCGGCGAGGAAGCAGAGGAGAGCGAGGGGTGGGCAGATGGGGGCGCGGGACTCACCAGGGTGCAGGCAGGGCTTGCTGCACAACGGGCAGCTGGAGTGGCCTGCGAAGGTCCCCCGCGGCAGCTGGTGCCCGTGGACACACTCCCCCCTGTCCCTGCTGTCCAGGGCCTTGTCCTTCAGCTGTGCCGGGCTCTTCCCCTGCAGAGATGGCTGGGGGTCAGAGCACCCTCTGCAGTGGGGTGGCCCTGGCCTGAGCCCCGGAGCTCCAAGGAAGTGGGGGCCCCCAGTCGCTCCCCCAGCTCAGCCGCACCTTCTCCTTCTGCCTGGTGACCCGGCTGCGGAGGGAGCTCAGACTCCGCTTCACCCTGGTGCTCTTGTCAGTCTTCTCATTCTTGAGGGCCCCATCCTCGCTCCTAGAGGGTGGAAGGATAGGATGGCCCGCACAGCGGGAAGTTGCCCCCAGACCCAGCAGGGACGTCAGGCCTCCTAATACTTATCCTTTCTGTGGCCGCTGACTCCCCACTTCCCCCCTTTGTCTCCCTCCCTCCCATAGTCACTCAATAAACGTTCAAAGATGTCTGCGAAGTTCCGGGAGCAGAGGGAAGCTGAGGGCCTGGCTTTCCAGCAGGGCCTGGGTTCAAGTGCGAGGTTCCAAAGAGAGCTGGAATTCCGCTCCTGCCCCGACCTCGGCCTCTGAGTCCCCTCTCCACCCAGACCCAGGTCTGATCAGCTCTTGGGCTCCGCCCACTTGTATGTCTGGCTTCCACGTAGGGATTAAGGACTCATTTCACAAAAATGTATAGAACCGGGGAGCGACAGCCAGCCAGGCCTGGCAGAGTCTTCCCTGCAGGGAGAGACTCCTTCCCTCCAGTCCATGCAGCTGCTGCACCACAGCTAACAGCCAGGAATGTCTGTTGAATGAGTAACTGAGGGAGGCCAGAGGCCTCCGCTCCACTCTGCCCCTTCTTCTGCGGCCAGTCCTGGTCGCGCCCGCGCAAGGTGCCCGTCACTTAGAGGATGAAGTCGGGGCAGGACGGCTACGCGCGCTGGCTCACTCACTCGGACAGGAACTCAAACCAGGTGAGGCTGGCGGTGGCTGCTCCGGGGCTGGCGGCCAGGCGCGCCCTCTGCCGGGCCCTGCGGGGCGGACGTGTGGTCAGAAGCTGGCCACAGCTCTGGGCCCACGTTCCCCGCATGGGACACACCCCGGACCCGCCGGAGGACTCGGCCGCCGTGGCAGCCTGGCCTCACAAAGCCCACGCCTAGGGACGCTGCCCGGCGAGCGGCGGCGTTTGGGAAAAAGGGGCGACCTCTCTCATTGTTCAGAGGCGTCCACAGCCCAAGGTGGCAGCTGCTTCTCCCCGGTCTTGGCCCTGTTGTCCCCACTCCTGCACCTCCTCTCTGCCATCGAGACTGGTCCTCCTTATGCCTGCCCCTGCTGCTACTCCCCAGCTGTTCTTACACTTGTCCCCTCGCAGCTGTCCCCTAGTAGCTGTCACTTCACAGCTGTCCCCTCACAGCTGTCCCCTTACACCTGTCTCCTCACACCTGTCTCTTCTCACTTGTTCCCTCATAGCTGTCCCCTAGTAACTGTCCTCACCTGTTGCCAAGCAGCTGTCCCCTCACAGCTGACCCTAGTAGTTATCCTCTCACCTGTCCCCTCACAGCTGTCCCCTAGGAACTGTCCACACCTGTCCCTTCACAGCTGTCTCCTATAGCTGTTCTCTCACCTGTCCCCTCACAGCTGTTCCCTAGTAACTGTCCTCACCTGTCCCCAAACAGCTGTCCCCTCACAGATGCCCCACACCTGTCTCCTTACCTATCCCCTGCTCACCTGCCATCACCTGTCCGCTCACACCAGCCCCACACTTCCCCCTCACCTGTTCCCACAACAGCTGTTTTTCCCCATACGCCTGTATCCAGATTTGCTCACTCCTCTGCCTGTTTCCACACCTGTCCTCTTTTTACTTTTATTTTTCCAAGTCCAGTGTGTTATGTAGTGTGCACCCCTGGTGTGAGCTGGCACCCCCATCTCTCCCACATCTTGATTCCCTTCCCCACTGAGAGTCCTCTCTCTCTACTTCCTATGAGCCCGCTGTCGTTTTGTCCTTTATTTCTACCCTGGGCATCTCACGTAAGAGAAGCCATGCAATACATGAGCTTTTGGGCCTGCTTTATGTCATTTAGCATCATGGTCTCAAGGAACACACGTTTTCCTACAGATGGCTCAAGTGTATCCCTGTTCACTGCACAGTAGTACTCCACACGGGTGACTTGCATTTCCTTTGTCCATTCACTTGGATGCTGGCGGGCATGTAGGTCATTTCCAGATTTAGCTACAGGCATGGCGCTGCTGGAAGTGCGAGTGGGCAGGGATCACTGAACTGTACTGGCTCTAACTCTTTGGGGAAGACACTAGAAGGGCGAGGGCTGGCCCGGGTGGCCTTGACCTGGGGAAGACACTAGAAGGGCGAGGGCTGACCCAGGTGGCCTTGACCTGTGCCCTTGCACCTGTCCCCAGATGCATTGCCCACCGCTCCCACCCGTCCCCACCCGCTTACCCGTGGTACTGGCGAAGCTCCTGAAGCACTTGCTGCACGATCAGCCTGTGGGAGAGGCGGGCCCAGGACCACACCCAGGAGCCCAGGTTAGTGACAGAGCCCCCAAGAGCGCAGCACTCAGAGACCCCACCTACATCCATGTGCCGTGCTGAGACCCATTCTGGGGCCCTCCTGGGGAGAGGTTAAGGGCAGGAGCCCCATTGCAGGGGCTGAGTGGGAGGGTGGTGGGTCACTTCAGGTCACTCCCGGTGAGCAGGGTTCCTCCCCGCCTGCCCCTGGCCACCGCCCCGCTGAGGCAGGGACACTCACACATGGTCCGGCTCCACGTGGTCCTTCTCTAGGTTCTCCAGCTCTGGGGGTTCGAGACCTGGAACCAGCCCCAGATTAGGGGTATGGGTGTGAGGGTCCAGCCTGGCACCTGCCCTCCCTGGTGCCCTGCAGGAATGGACACTTCCCAGGCAGGACCCCATCACCCTGGGTGACAAGATGGGGGACAGGACCGAGCCAGACACAGAGCTGTCCCAGTGTATCACGAACACCTGAGACTCTCCCGGTGGTCCTAGTGAGATATGCTGATTGTGTCTTTAAGAATCTCAATTAACTAATCAATCAATGAATAAATTCACAGTGGTGAGGCTTGAGCTGGGCAGTGCTCCAACCCTGAGCTAGATCCCTAGTCCTCCCTCCTTTTCATTTTGAGGGCTCTTGCTAAATGGCCCAGGCTGCCCTGGAATTTGCAATCTCCCTGCCTCAGCCTCCCAAGTAGCTGGAGCTAGAGGCATGCACTACTGGTGCATGGCCAGCTACTGTGCTTTTCTTTTTCATTTTGTTTTTTTGAGACAGGGTCTTACTCTATAGTCCAGGCTGGACTAGAATCCACTAGGTAGCCTAGGCTGGCCTCCAACTCATGGCCTCCTCCTTCCTCATCCTCCTGAGTGCTGGGTGACAGGTGTGCACACCGTGCCAGGCTAGTCTCCCTTCATAGAGAGGAAGCCACAGAAGTTGCCAGCCAGTGGCCACGTCAGGTCACACAGAGCATCTGCCTGACACAGGAAAGGTGCGAGCCCTCAGGAGAGGGATCTGGAAGCAAAGAGGAGGCAAAAGAGAGAAGCAGGGCGCACGTCTGGAGCCCCAGTACTCTGAGAGGCCAAAGCAGAAGGGCAGCAAAGTCTAGCCCAGCCTGGACTACTTAGCAAGACTCTGTCTCAAAATTCAAACGAACAGACAAACAAATAAAAAGGGCTAGGGATTTAGCTCAGTATAAAGACCCTGGGTTCAATCCCCAGTACGGGGGGAAAATAAGAAAATAAAAAGGGAGAGAAAGAGGCAGAGGCAGAAGCAGAGAGAAGTTAGGGCCACTCGGAGGCTGGAGGCTCCCTCTCTTCCCTGGATCTGCAGGACTCAGCAGGGGACCCCATGTCAGTCCTTCAGCACTGTCCCCTGCTGAGACCCAGCTGTGGTCCCAATCAGGTGACAATTATAGAGCAGGTGGCCTCCTGTCTGCCCCACTCCCAGGCCCTGTTTGAAGTGAGGGGACTCCCAGCCTGGGTTACCTTGTGCAGGCGCTGCTTCTGAGCTCGGGGTGAGCTCAGTGGAGCTGATCTCTTTGTAGGCCTGCTGGGCCTGCTGGGCCTGCTGGGGTGCCGACCTGGACCTCACTCTCTTCTCGGGGATCCTGCCATCCTGCAGTGTAGAAGTGTCTCATGAGCCCAGGAGGTGGCTGGGCTGCAGGCCGAGGCTCCCAGCCAAGCATGGCCAGGGACACATCCATAGAACCGGTAGACAGGCTTCCCCCCAGCCCCAGCCCTGACCTGGGTTCCAGCCACACCAGCCCCAGTGTAGGCTGCCAGCTGGAGCTTCCCATGCAGAGCTGAAGGAACAGGGTTCCCGTGGGTCATGGTCACAGGCAGAGATATTCCAGTCCCAGCATCCAGCACATGCCCTGCCCAGGACCCGCCAACCACACACAGAGCCTGGCCCTCCAAGCCTGAGACCTCGTCCCAGATTAGGATTAGATGCGGTTATCAAGGTGGGCTACCCCTGATGGCTAAGAAGAGACAGAGGCCAGCCAGATTAGCTCAGCAGATTAAAGCGCCTGCTTAGGCAGACACAGGAACCTGGGTTTGATCCAGGCATGCCGTGCTGAGCCTGCCGCCAGGGTGCACTGAGTCGGTGATTGAGACTGGGTGTGGTGGTATGCACCTGTAATCCCAGCACTTGGGAGGCGGAAAATAGGAGGATCACTACGAGTCAGATCTGTGTAGTGAGACCCTATAGACTTGGTACTAAATACATACAAAAAAAGAAGAGTCAGAGGGAGACGGGGTCACAGTTGCCCATGCTCCCTGTCTCCACGAGACGCCTACTCCACCCTACGGCTCTGTCAGCACAGAGGCTGTCGCAGTCTCCAGATGCCCAGACGCAGGACTCACACTATGGAGCTCCAGAGTCAGGCGCCGAGCAAACCTTTTTTTTTTTTTTTTTTGGTAATTCAGTAAAGCCATTTATGAATTGTTTGTCAAAAAAATAGATAAATATATTGCATCAAGCTTCAGACAGAAAAAATGTAAGCCTTTAAATTTCTATTAACAAAAAAAAAAATCCATTCATCACTGAAATCCCTTTCATCTCCAAAATATTTTGTTTGGAATGAGGGGGAGGGACTGGGGAGATGGCTTTGTGGTCTAAGCACCTGCCTGGAAAGTGCAAAGACCTGAGTTGGATCCCCAGTAGCTCGTGCCATGCTGGCCCTGGGCCCAGGAGTGGTGGTAGTACATGTAATCCCAGCACTGGGGAGGCTGAGACAGGAGGATTACTATGAGTCCAAACTGCATAGTGAGACCCTGTATCAAATAAACTGATGGTGGTGGTGGTGGTGGTGGTGGTGATGATGATGATGATGATGATGATGATGATGATGATGATGATGATGATGATAAATGAGGGGAAAATTGCCTTTTTGCTTCCTCTTCTCTGAGGCCACAGAATCAGGATGCAACAGATCTCACTGGTGGTGTTATGGTTTGTGTCTAGCTGTCCTCCCAAAGCTTCAGGCAGCCATTGGAGCAGGCTTCTAGAGCCAGCCAAGCACAGACTGAAACCTCCACACACTGTGAGCTAAATAAACCTTTCTTTCTTTGATTTTGGGTGTCTTGTATTTTGTCCCAGCAATGAGAGAAAAGTAACAAACAGTGGGTTTTGAAATCCCCATCTTCCTTGGTGGGCTTATAAATTTCTTTAATCCACACAAATCTGTTGAATAATGTTAGTGCCCTAACTTAAGGTGGTTTGTAGGTTGGAGTTTAAAAGGAAGGAAAGTTAAAAGTCATTGTTTCTCGTTCTCCCACATGTGCTCATCCATCCTCAAATGAGTTCCCAGACACCTCCACCACCTTCTCTGCCCAGTTCTCCCATATCTGCAGGGGCCCCTGAGGGTGAGCAGCTTTTCTGAGGCTGGAAGGGCCCAGGGACAGTAGAGAGAAATGAAGACGTGGACCCTGCTGAAGACACCCCTGCCTGAAAAGTGGGTGAGAAGGGCCTGGGAGAAGGATCAGCCTGCAGCCCCAGCTGGTCATTGCAGGCCATGTCCAGTCTGACCTCTAACCCTCTCTGGAGCACTAAAGAAAGAAAAATAGTAACACTTCCATGCTCCCCAGATAGCTGGCTACTGCAAAGTTCCTGGTACGTGTGGTTGCAGGAAAGCATGTTCATGTGTGAAATGAGCTCCTCCGAGGCCAGTCAGTAGAGTCTCTCCAGATCCGTCCTGGTGGGCCCCAGGGGAGGGAGGCTCCCCCGCAAGATATCTCTCTGCATGGGGCCAGCATGGATAAAGATCTGAAGGCATCCTTCAGAGGTCCTGCCACGCAGCACTGCACACAGACCCTACAGATGTGAACTCCCCAGACTCCAGGCTTAGAGCAGACTCAGAGTTACTGTTAAGTGGATCCAGGGAGTCCTAAGAGACCGTGCGGTAAGTGTTGCGGTCCTTAACAAATTCTGGTCCTCAGTGGTTCTGCCATCCTTTCCGGAAGGTTTTCACTGGCATTCTTCCTGATTAAGTACGTCAGTTACTTTCTCATTGCTGATGTCCACAATTTAAGAGAGGAAGGGTTTATTCCGGCTCACTGTCTGTAGAGGCTTCAGTCCATAGCCAGCTGGCTCCAAGGAAGGGCAGCATAGCAGAGGAGAAAGGGCTCGTGGCAGGGGGTAGCAGCAGAAAGGGATGGAGAGGAGCGAAGGAGTCAGACCTTCCAGGCCAACTCCGTTGAGCCCCTTCAACCACACTTCATGTCCCAAATGGAATTTAGCTTTAAAATCTGTGGATGAGGGGCTGGTGAGATGGCTCAGTGGTCTAAAGCACCAACTTAGAACAAGCTTAGCAAAGCCTAGGGACCACGGTTCAATCCCCCAGCACCACATGCCAGCCAGCCCACCCCCCTGGTGGGCTGAGCTGGCCACACACACACACACACACACAAATAAAAATAAATAAATAAATTTTAAAAAAATAAATAAAATAAAATCTGTGGATGAACCCACCGACAGGCACCATATCCATGATCCAATCACACCGCCAAAGCACCACTTAGGAGTGCACAAGGCCTTAGGGGATGTCTAAGGCATAACATTATGGCTTTTTTCTTAGCTCCCACTTGGGTAAAACGAACTAGTAGCTGTCCCGCTAGCTGCAATAATAAGGTGTGCTGTAAAATACTCATTTTCTCACACCAATTTTGTTAGAAGTAACAGCTTTTTTTTTTTTTAGCCTAAATGCTTTTTATTTTTAGTTATCACACAATTCTTAGTTGAAACCACAGTAAACATAAACACTCTCAAGTTAACCTAAACAGAAAACAGTTACTAAAGACACTTGGAAGCTCATAGACTCCACAGGACACCTGACATCAGGATGGTAAACAGGAGTGCTACCCAAACTGTGCCCTGGAGCTTGGCCCAGCGAGCAAACCTTTTGATAACGAAAGTTTCCAGGCTGTGGCAGTGTGTTACAAGCCAGAGAAAACGGGCAATGGCAGACCAAATCCAGGGCCCAGAGCTGCTGGGCCACGGCCACACTGTGGACCTTTCCCTCATCCTGCTCTTCGACCAGGGAGTCCTGCCAGTTTAAGGGTGACGCTCCCTCCCAGCTGGGTACTGGTGGCGCTCACCTTGCTTGAGTGCTCTGCTGCGGTCCCGCCCCCAGACAGGCACCCTTGGGTCCAGGTCTTCAGGCCTTCTCCTGATAGGTTGAGTGTGAGACTGGCCAGCGTCCGAGACAAACAAGGGCTCTCATCCGTAGGCGGACTGTCACTGCTGAGCCTGCAGGAAGAGGAGGCTGTCAGAGCTTCTGTGCGTGCGTGCATGCGTGCGTGCGCATGGGTGCTGTGCCCCTGGCATTCAGGGCCTTGAGGCAGCCGGCAGGGTCTCCCAGGTCAGGGAGGGGGTCTGTACCCATCAGCTCGGAAAGGAGAGGGAAAGGCCCGCTCAGATTCGCGAAGGCTTCGGCTGTTCTGCAGATTCATCCCTTTTGCACAAATGGATTTGCATTTGGGGAAACTCGGGGTGGGGGGCTGAGAGAAAAGGGACAGGGGCTGGCTAACTCCAGTGCTGTGCACAAAGGTGTGTTTTGATCAAAGTGTTCCTGTGGCTTTCTGCACATCGGTGCCAGGAGATCGCGCACCGGGTGTGCCTGTAACCCCAGCACTCCGAGAGGCTGAGGCAGGAGAATGCGATGTGAAAGCCCAGCCTAAGTAACTTAGGGACTTCGCGAGACCCTAAAATGAAAATTTTGAAAAACAAAGGTCTGGGGATATGGCTCAGTGTGAAGGGCTTGTATTCCATCCCCAGTACGGTGGACAAAACCAGAAACGCGGCCAGTGCCGCTAACAGGCGAGTGGACATGTATCACAGGGACTGTGGGTAGGCGTGGCTACGTGCAGCCAGCGCTGGCAGGCCCGCACACACATTCAGTACTATGTTTGTCCTCTGTGTGCACCTGTAGTTTTCAGTTTGGGCTCACCCATACCCACTGGTCCGTAGGCAGGTGGGTCTGTGCACCTAGAAGGCTCTATTTGTGAATGTACCGTTTGTGCACGCACTTGTGTTTGGGAATGCACTTGTGTTTGTGTGTACACACGTGCTCCTGCAAGCACTGTGTGGGCGAGCCCGTGTCTGCGCTCCCCCTTACAGCGCAGGCCCCCTGGTGGCCCTAAAGCTAGACACGCACATGCAACCTGGTAGTGTGTCCAGGAAGTGGTTCTGTCCGGGACCTGCTGCCCTGGGGATGCGGGCTGACCTGGGGGTTCCCCATAGGAAGTGGGCAGGGGCGGGGCCTGACCTCTGCCAGCTCTCTGAGCAGCTCCGAGACCTCTCCCAGCTGCGTCGCCGCACCTGGGCCTCGGCCCTCTCCGAGCTGGAGAAGGACGAGTCTCTCTCCGCTTTTGGGGTGCTGTTGCCCGCAGCTCCTCCATGCGGGCCCTGGGGAGGGGGCCCTAGGCCCAGGTCCTGGAGATACTCGCTGCCTTCCAGGGCCCCCAAATCCAGGCTGAGGTCTTCTGTGCTGTCGCTGAGCTGCTCTGCCAAACCGTCCTCCTGCGGGCAGTGGGAGGGGGGACATTTAGCAAGGGGTAGAGCAGGCGTCTCCTGGGGACGGGGTCTACGACCCCAGCCCCTGGACCCTGCTGCTTCGCTCCTGTGCAGCGGCGCTGGGCCTTCTTGCAGCAAGCAGGGGAGAGGGCACCCCACCAGTGCTCTGTCGAACCCGGGCCCTCAAGACCTCGCTGGGTCCCCCGCAGGACCCAGAAGTCTCAGCTTTGCTCTCTTGGCCTGCACCAGCCAGCGCAGCATCTCCCTGTCTTTTTTTTTTTTACACAGACTCTCTATGTAGCCCAGACTGACCTTGAACTCATGGCTATCCCCCTGCCTTGGCCTCCTGAGGACTGGGAGGACGGGTGCGCGCCACCACGCCCAGCTCAAAGCAATGTTTTTTAAAAACTTAAAAATAATGCAAGGTGATCTAGAGTGAATAAGTTATTCCAGTTTGAAATAATGACTACAGTGTGAGTATGCCTTACCCCCAAAACGCTTGGGACTCCTCAGTCGTGCGCCAGCTTCTGGACTGCCCTACTTGGCAATATTTGCATATCTCTGATGAGATATTGTAGCTCTGGGCGTCAGGTCGAAACTTACAATACATTTGTCTTATATACCTTGTCTGTACATACCCCGAAGGTTGGTTTATGTGCTATTTTTATGGCACCTATGTTTTTCCCTTTTTGTGGTAACGGGAATTGAGCCCAGAGCCTTTGCACTGAGCTACATCCTCAGACATTTTATAAGCTTTCTTATTTAGAGATTGCATTTTGCTAAGTTGTTAGTTGCCTAGGTTGGGCTTGAACTTGTGACCCTCCTGCCTCAACCTCCCCATGTGCGGGGATTACAGAGCTATTCCACCATACCTGGCCTCTGCTGTGGATATTAACCAGCAGGAGGCAGAGGGCGATGTTTACACCTGCTTGTGGGTAGGCAGGGGCTTCACCCACATGGGACTCTCTGCACATTTGACCCTCCTTTCTGTCTATTTTTATTGTATTTACATCTAATCTCTTCCCATCACCCCTAGTTCTGGAGATTTTTTTTTTCTTCTGATAAGAGGGATGGAACTCACTACCTCGTGCTTGCCAGGTAGGCACTGTGCCACCAAGCTCTAGCCTCAGTCTCCAGTTCTGGGGATTGAATCCAAGGCTTTTGCACTGAGCTACATCCCCAGACCCTTTAAAATGTTTTTAATTTTGAGATAGAGTTTTATTAAGTTGTCCAGCTTGGGCTCCACCTCATAGAAATCCTCCTGTCTCAGCCTCCCTAGTGCTGAGAGAGACTGCAGGCAGGCAGCACTACTCTGGCTGGCCCTCCATTCTACCATTTCGCTTCTCTGTCAGTCGCTCCTCCTTTTGTGCCTCCTCTTCCCCTCTTCGTCCTCCGAGTGCCTGCTTCTCTGGTCTCTTCCTAAACACCCACAACTGGGACTGCTGCTGGCCTGGTGGCTTTGGGCCCCTGCGGCTCCCTGCAGCCTGTGTTTAGGCCTTGCCCTCCTCTGCGTCCTTCTGTTCCTATCCTCCTCCTATCCTCCATGCCTGCACAACCTCCTCCTGACTCATGTGTTGTTCTCTTCCCACCGCCGCCACCTCGCAGTGAGGTCTCCTTGGTGGGTCTGGTTTTCATCTTCCAGTAAATATAAACACGGCGGGACAGCCTCTAGGCCAGGCCGGCAGTCTCCCTCTGTTCCCTGGGCCCCCTCCTGGGAAGCAGAGGAGAACTGGGCCAGTGCTGGGGGGAGGGGGTGTGTGGTCCCCACAGCCAGCACAGGCTGCCTCAGCTCCTGGTAGCAGCAGGTAAGAGGACTGGTGGGGAGGGGGCTGTGTGTGTGGTGGAAAGTTCCAGGCTGCCCTGTAGCACATTCCCCAGGGAGGGCGGCCGGGCTTGGGTGGCTGTTCTGCTGCACCTGCTGGATGTCAGAGGGCTGAGCTCCCGAGCCAAGCCGGGAGGCCAGACCTCCCAGGACCCACTTTGTGGAGGTGCCCACCACTTGCATGTTCAGGTACTCCACAGATACATGTCTATTTTTAAGTCTATATAATGGGCTGGGGAGATAGCTAGGTGATCTAAGTGCCTGTCTAGCAAGCACAAGGACCAGAGTTTGATCCCTGGTACCGCCTGCTGTGCTGGCCACCCGAACCATGCCTGGTGGCACACGCCTGTAATCCCAGGGCTGGGGAGGCTGAGACAAGAGGATCACTATGAGCCCAAGCTGCATAGCGAGACCCTGTACCAAACTTAAATAAATACATTTTAAAAAATCTATACAACCATTGGTCTTGTGTGATGGACAAGGATCACACAGCGGAAGCCACCCCAAGCACCCCATCTCCCTGGTCTCATCTAGCGCTATGAAAAGAGAGGGCTTCAGGCTGACATCCCTCACCCCCTAAACCTGGGACCAGAACACTCCAAAGATGCCTTAAGAGCTGTGGTGACACACAGGTGGCAAATTCCACACCTGATCCCCGTGACAGGTCACAGCAAAAATGTGCAGGCTCTGCAAACAGTGCCCCAGTGACCTTCAGGCTGCACCTGTGCTGTGCACAGGGAGTGCGCAGGGGCCTTCAGGGGCACTTAAGGGCCATCTGGTTTCCTGCTCCTCCCTCCAGCTGAGGTCCTCTGCAAAACAGCCCATCTGCGAAAGGTCTAGCCCTTGTTTCCTACCACCTGGCTTGTACTCTGCTCTTCATTTAGACTTCGAGGTTCCCACAGTAGAGAAAGTGCGTGACATTTAAGCGCATGGGTCTGATGTAGTTCACTTAGCATCAAGGTGTCACGAGACCCATATTCCTGCAAATGAGTTAGATTTATTCTTCTTTATGGTAGGATGATGATTTCCCCACCAAAATGGATTTTTTCACCATTCAGAATTTTGTGTTTAGACGTGGGTCCCTTTGCCAAGGTATCTCATGTATATGAAATATATAAAGCCCACATCTCACTGGGTGTGGTGGAGTATGCCTGTAATCCCAGCACTTGGGAGGCTGAGGAATGAGGATTTCTTCAAATTGAAGGCCATTCATGTATCCATCCATCTATTTCATCTACCCATCTACCCATCATCCATCCACCCACCCACCCACCCCATCCATCTATACCATTCCATTCCATTTCCTTCCTTCCTTCCCTCTCTCCCTCCCTGTTCTTATTCCAGAAAGGATTTCACTTTCCTCCTCTGTAACACAAGGCAATAGCCACGTCGCTGCATCTTCCCGAGGGCTCCCTAAGATAACGTACGTAAAGTGTCTGGTGAGATGCAGGCGCGAGGCACAGTGTACTTGCCGCCACTGCTGTCCTCCGCTCCTGGCCAGCACCTGCCTGCTCATCCTGCATGGCGGAGATGAGATCTGGGTCCCCAGGTGTCCAGGCTCCACGGCTCTTCCCGGTGGTCAAGGCCGCAGCACCAGGGTCAAAGGGCTGGATGCATGTCTTGGGTTCAGAACCTGTGGAGAAAGGAGGGGAAGGCATCGGATGAAGCCAGGACCTGAACCACAGAGAGGAAGATGGGGACAGTGGCCTGGGGTCGGTGCTGGAGCAGGTAGCAGAGGTGTGGGGGAGGAAAGGGTCGTGTCTCCATTGGCGGAGACACATGTGGGGACTGCACTTCACCATAAGCGCAGTGGTCGCCTGAGGTGAGGCAGGGCGGGGCGGAAGTGGGCTGAAAGCCGTCTTTAGAAAGAGCTCGGGGTCTTCATCACTTTCTTCATTGTTGAGACACGCAGCACGCACAGCTCGAGGGAGGAGAGCTTTCTTTCAGCTCACGGCGTGGTGCACGCTGGCTGGCTCCAAGGCAGGGAGCATGGCACAGGGGCCTGGCGGAGCAGGGCGGCTCTCCTCACGGGACCCCGAAGCAGCCGCGGAAGGGAGGCGCCAGAGAGGAAGTGGCAGGGCCCGGCCATGCCCCCAGTGAGCCCCTCTTCCGCAACCTCTGCCAGCCAGGCCCCGCGTCCTAACAGCACCCTACACTGTTGATTCATCAGAGCGGGAATCCACTCCAGAGTGGAGCATCCTCATGACCCGGTCTCCTTCCAAACGCCCTACCCCTGAGTGCATGAACGTTTAGGGGTCCATCGAGGTCTGCGCCAGTGCATCAGATGGGGTTCCTATTCACTCCACAGCTTGCATGTCCTGCGGCTCTGTTGATCCCAGGCCCAGTATTCTGGGGACAGTTCTATTCTGGCTGACAGAGCCAGGGTCCTACCACACCCAGGGTTTTCCTCTCCAGAGTGAACACCATCTAGCTGGCCTCCCTGCCAGTAACCATGACAGCTAACAGTGGTTGGAAAAAGCGATGTCTCTTCAGGTCCAGCCAGAGATGAGCCCAGGCAAGGGAACAAAGATAGGGCTGTCTGTACCTAGCTCATATTTCTCCTCACAGCTGTGTATGTGACAAACACTGCTCCAGGTTTTGGGGACTTGGGGCATATACAATTTTTTTTTAGGGAGAGGGCTTCTTTAAAAAATAAATAACTAAGGGCTGGCCAGATAGCTCAGAGGACTAAAGCGCTTGCTTAGGCAGGGTGCAGGGGTCAGGGTTCGACCCCAGGCATGCCATGCCAGCCTTGCCTCCCGGGTGTGCTGAGACTATGAGTGAGACTGGGCTTGGTGGCATGTGCCTGTAATCCCAGAACCTGGAAGGCTGAAAACAGGGGGATCATAATGAGTCTGGTCTGTGTAGTGAGACCCTGTGGACTCTGTGCTAAATACATTTTGAAAAACAGAATAACTGTGATCCCAGCACTCTGGGATGCTGAGGCAAGAGGATCACAAGTTTAAGCCCAGCCTGGGCAACTTAGTGATTTAGAAAGATCTTGTCTCCAAATAATCAATGAAAGCCGGAGAATGTAGCTCAGTAAAAGTGCACTGGGATCAATCTCCAGTAACACACACACACACACACACACACACACACACACACACACACACGAAGGTAAAACTATGCATATCGAACTGCTGGGGCATTTAGAAGGTACCAAGAACAGCAGAAAATAGCCAAGGTAGAAGTAAACACACTCTATAAATAGATGAAGGAAAAGGGGTCATGTGCACACATGCGTGTGTACAAAAATAACAAGGAGATTGGAAAACTGCCTGGCAGTGTCTCAAAAAGTTAAGTGTAGGGGGTTGGTATGTTACCCAGCCTTCCAGCTCCGAGGCACCCACCTAAGAGGATGGAAAACACTCTCTGCTCGTGATAGCATCATTCACCACAACCAGGTGGAAGCACCTCAGACGCCTACTGGGGGATGAGTGGGCATACAAACTGTGGTATATCCACGGGATTGGGTGGTATTCAGCCACGAAAAAGGCGAAATTCCACACACATCACAACCTGGATGAACCTTGGCAACAGGTTAAGCCAAGCAGCCAGCCCCAAGCACCCACATGCTATCTGATTCTACTCTTAGGAAATGCTCAAAGTAGGCAAAGCTACAGAAGACAGGAAGTAGGTGAGTGGTTGCCAGGGGCTGGGGGCAATGGAGATTGTGTGGCGAGGTGAGTGTCCTCTTGGGGTGGGGAAAGTATTTTAAAGTTGATGTGTGGCTGCACAACTCTGAGAATGTGCTGAAAACCAAGATCCAAGATCCAAGGCTCAACCAGGACCAAGGCTCAACCTACGACAGAAATCTGAAGTTCCATCCATGACACTAGGATTGGGGCTCAGTCAGCAAAACCAGGGTCAGAATCGAGTTTGTCACAAGTTAAGCATTCTTGCTCCTGGGTCATAATCTCCCATACAAAGACTCAACTGGGGCCGACGAGATAGCTCAGTGGACAAAGCACCTGAGGCTAGCACAGGGACCTAGGTTCAATTCCTGGCACCACATGCCACACCAGCCCCACCTCAAGGCAAGTTGAGCAGGCCAGTGAGACTGGGCATAGTGGCACAAGCCTATAATCCCAGCACTGGAGAGGCTAAAAACAGGAGGATCACTATGAGTCTGATCTGTGTAGTGAGACCCTGTAGATCCTGTACTAAATACACACACACACACAAAGAAAAACCTTTGCAGCCTGCCTCTCATTCCCAGGTGTCCTGGTGCCACCCCCTACTGGCCATCCTACTCTTATAGCCCAGCAGCAGAGGGCTGCGTCGGCCTGTCTGCAGATTAAACTGGAGGCTTTGGATGCACCTGGCCTCTTTATCTATGCTCTGTGGTGTTGTAATTATTACATTTGTGCTTTCCCATGGCCTATGGGTCAAAGCCAGCTCCCTGCTGGGCTTTATAAATAAAGTTTTATTGTGACACAGCTAGGCCCATTCACCCATGTCTCACCTGTGGCCTCTGTCACACTACAACTGCGCAGTGCAGTAGCTGCAGCAGAGACCACTTGGCCTGCAAAGCCAACAACATTTACAGCACTCTCAACCTTCTATGGAACGAGCATGCTCATCTCAGCTCCAGAGCTCGAGGTCTTAGGGTAGGGCCTGGATCTCACCCCCTTTTACACATCCAGGGGCCACGCAGGAAGATCTTACGTGCGTTGTACACTTCCTACGTGCCCAGCATGGTCCTGAGCTCACCCTGTGCTTCTCATTTTCTCTCCTTACAACCTCTGCGAAATCCTCCCTTTCTACCAGGGGGAAACAGGGACTTAGAGAGGGACACTGACTTTACCAATGTCATATCAGCCTGGCATGAAGGAGCTGGGTGTTTCTAAGATCAAAACAATAGGTTACAATCACTAGGCTATCGTGTGCTATGTTGGGTTTGGCAGAGTTGGCCATAGGCTTATTGATGAATGATAGGTAAGTGGATAAATAGGTGGATGGATGGGAAGGTGGATGGATGGGAGGATGGATGGGTGAATGGGTGGATGGATGGATGGGTGAATGGATGGATGGGTGGATGGATGGATGGAGCAGTTGATGGATAGTCAGTTAAATGGTCATCTACCTGTCTGGAGAGATGGCGTATTGGTTGGTGGTTGGCTGGATAGACAGATGGATGGTTAGGTGGATTGGTGGATGCTTGGATAGTTAACTGACTGGTTATCTAGATAGATGAAATAGTTGTTGGTTGGTGAGTTGAGTAGATGGACTGAGGATTAAATGGATGAATGATTGGATGGTTGGATAGTTAACTGGCTGGCTGACCAGTTGATTGATGGGTGGGGGATGGGTGGCTGGGTGGGTGGTTACAAGTGTAGAAGGGTGGCTGGACAGTTAACTGAGTGGATGTCTATCTGCTTATTATGGGTTGGCTGGTGAGCCAGGTAGGTAGATGGGTGAATTATTGGGTGGATGGAGAGGTGTGTGCTGGGTAGTCAGCTGTGGAGGGGATGACCGGTGGTTGCTGGCTGGGAGGCGGATGTGTGGGTGGCTGGAGGAGGGCTGTGCAACAGTGCCCAGAGGCCCTGATGCACAGCATTCAGGGGACAACACTCTGAGGGGGTGCTGGAAGGAGCTGTAGGAGGAGGAGAAACAGAATGGGGCCAGAGAAGCCAGGCAGGAAGGACATGCAGCTAAGGCATGGAACACACTCATACATGCACATACTGGGGGTCAAATGAAACTACGCTGCCAGAATGGGCAACGGGAATGGCTGAGGTGCAGGTAGGTGGCATCTTTCTCTCCAAAGTGTCATCTGCTTCCCCACGCCCAGCCTGACTGTTTCCCTGGGAACACATTAGTGCCAGGCAGCCAGTTATGGAGCTTCGGAGAGGCTCAGGCTGCAGGACACCATTCTCCAGCTCCCTGGCCCAAGCCCCAAGGGATCACTTCCGGCGCCAGCCAGGGGCCATTAAGCTAGAGCAGGGGCAGGCTCAGCAGGGTGGCCCCCTTCTCTCCAGAGCCGGCCAGCAGCCTGGGTCATCTCAGACAGCCTCTTCCTCCCTGAGCCATAAAAGGGTGCAAGGGTCACTGCAGGTCTGCTCAGGTCACTCCTATCTTGCTGGCCGGAATGTCACAGCCTCAACCTGCCTGAGCAGCCAGGAATGAAGCCAACCTCCACAGGACCCAGACCACATAGGTGGGCTCTCCAGAACAGCACATTCGGGCTGCCCACATCGGCAGACTTGCTCGCCAGAAAGAAGTCGGCACCCAGGGAGCCCCAGAACAGCCAGAGGCCGGCTCCTGCGGCGCATGCCCGCTGTGTGACCTTCAGCAAGTTGCCCAACCTCTCTGAGGCCAGTTTCACAAAGGCTCGACATGGGCAGCAGCCTCTATCATTCGAATGGCTCTGTAATTGCACCCCAGGACCCAGGTCACCTGGCTGACCTGTCTTCTTGGAAACTCATGCTACCCTGAACAAGCCGTCGGCTCATGCAGCTGTGCTGGCTAGGATGGCTCGTGGCTGAGCGATGCGGTGGCCTGACCAAGCCGGGGGCAGGGAGGGGTCCTTATCTGGGTGGGAGGTGCCAGGAGGGAAGAAAGTCAGGAGGTGATGGGCTGTGGCTGGCTTTTATCACACTGTCCCCCCAACATCTTGTAGACCCAGGT